TGTGTTTATCCGGACGAGACAGCGTTCGATACCCAAAATATCCACCAAAATAACTTAATGGTCGGGCGAGAGTTGTCAAACTTACTTGCCATATCTCTATTATTTGCCTGGCGATTTTCAAGCACTATATYCATCACTTTTTTTTAATATTCTGAGCAGTTGTCTTCACCGATATCTGGACCTTCTTTAAAGGCTTTGTACCACTTGTAGAATTGTATTTTTGAAAAAACTGACATTCGCATTATATTCGCACACGAAATTTGGTTAGAAATAAAAAAATGTGGGACAAATTCTTCCTTTGATATTCTTATTCGTTGTAAAAATCACAACGCACTACTGAGGTGTGCCGACTTAAGAAGCGGGCTACTATTTGAGTAGCTACTTAAAATTATTAAAAAATAATATTTGTAATTGTGTTGGTGTTAAAAATTTCAAAAGTCTGCTTGTGGCACCTCTATCAGAGTAAAGTCAATTCGGCGCCGTCCGAGGCAATTCCAACTGACGTATGGAAAGACTTGACACATTTTATGTCGATATCTTAGATAGAAAGCGTACAAAATACAACAGCTAAAACTGAATTCACTCGACTTTCCTAACCGACATCCTTTCGCTCTACAGGCTCTCGAAAAGTTCCAAGAAAATCCGAAGTTATCGAGCCAAATTATGTTTAGCTATGATGCCTATTTCTGGCTCAATGGGTGTATAAACTAGCAAAATTGCCACATTTGGGGCGAATAGCAAAATGAAGAGATTAAAAAGCTGACAAAAATAGTTTGGAGTGGTTTGTGGTTCGGTTATACCAGTGAGAATGTAACGGTCAATGGCGAACGTAACCGCGCCGTGATAACCGACTATTTGTTAGCTGAAATTGAAGCTTGAGATCTCTGCGACATTTGGTTTCAACAAGACGGTGCCGCTTTCCATACATCACATATATCAATGGACTTATTGAGAGAATAGTTCGGTGAGCAGATAATTTCACGTTTTGAGACGATTTCCCGCCAAGGTCGTGTGATATCACACCGCTAAACTTTTTCCTGTAGGAATTTGTAAAGCCCTTCGACTCAGCCCTTGGAACAATACATCACGGATGTCATTCGCCAGTTGAAAGTCGAGATGTTCGAATGAGTATTAAAAATTTGGACGTATGAATGGACATCTGAGAAGTAGCCGCGACCAACATTTGAAAGAGATAATCATCGAGAAATAAATACCAAAGTATGATCTTTTGAATGATAATAAACAATTAATTTGAAGTTTCTGTGTTTTCTTTAAAATAGTTAGGAACCTGGAAATGGATCACTTTATATGTGTGTATTTGTGATTAAGAATACTTTTTCTCAATTTTGATATTATGATTTTATTTTCATTTTATTTATTAAGATTAGAAATTTTTTCATGATTTTATTTTCATTTTATTTATTAAGATTAGAAATTTTTTCATGATTTTATTTTCATTTTATTTATTAAGATTAGAAATTTTTTCATTAAACTTGCTTTAATTGAAATAGCTGGAAATCCTCTTACAGTTTGGTCTACTATAACTTCTTTCAATTCTGTGAATGCGACACTTTTATTCTTGTCAAACGGTATTTTATCACGCCGGCGAATAAACGCAAGTGACACCTGCATTGTGCGCGGCCTCCTTTCAATTCCCTATTTGGCACATTAAATGCTATCAGCCATACATAGTTATGTATAGTATATGTAGATGGATATGTGTGTGACTCAGTGCCCAACAATATTTTGTATGTGTGTGTGTGTATTTAGTGCACATTTTTCTTCACCACCGCGGTTACCCTTTGGCAGCGTCGCGCCTACATTGTTTTGGTTTCACATAGTACAAGTGTGCTCAGACGAACTCAGACGCCATTAACACCTTTTAAAAACTCGGCACTCGTTTCTATTGTCTGCTTAACTGCAAGTTGGGCACTTAGTGAATGTCATAGGAGAGGTAACGACAGATTAGAGTGTGTTGAAGGTACAAGTATACTTATGCCTATA